TTCCGACGCTTCTCCCAAAGAACCGGAGGCGGTTTTTAGAATCTCGCCTTAAAGACTCTCAGCGTAGTTGAGTTTTCCCAAGTAACAAATAATGTTGGTTCAGAATAGGTCCTAGAATAGCAGAACATGAATTGTTGGATTTCATAATCAAAAACACATCAAATATAAGTTATATATATAATATATATATATTATATATATATATATATATATATATATATATACATATATATATATACACATATAATATACACATATATATATATATATCTATATATATATATATATATCATATAGTATATATATATATATATGTATGTATATATATATATATATATATGTATATATATATATATATATATATATATATATATATATATATATACACACACACAACACACACACACACACACACACACACACACACACACACACACACACACACACACACACACACACACACACACACACACACACACACGACATTAAAAAATCTGATTGTCGGTAATCTCGTTCCTTCATATTTCCGGCATTGATTCCGGAACGCATTGTCAAATTTACCGCATTGGCTTGCAACTGTTTTCTGTTGTCGCCAATTACGTTTTGATGGCGATCTGCTCCATTATCAGCTGCTTAGTCTCGCTTGCACCTGCCAACAGGCAATCCTCCTCATTCCTTCTCTTGTTATTATGTCTTTGTTGCTGTATAGTCTCATGATGGGTTCAGAAAAGATAACGTAAACATCGTGCGTTGTCGATTGCAGAGAAAGTGGAAATGCTAAAAAAAAAAAAAAAAAATGATGAACATCAACTTTTCATTTAGTGTTTGAGCTTCTTTCTTTAAAGAACTAGGCACCTATGTATTTTCTGTTAAATATATATATAAAGAATATATAGCCATATAAAATCCGGCATTTTCGAAAATTCGGCTCTCTCAGGTCCTATTGTTGCCGGATTGTTTATTCTCAACCTGCATATGTGTGTTTGTTTGTGTGTGTGTGTGTGGTGTGTAATGTATATATATATATATATATAATATATATATATATATATATATATATATATAGTATTATGTATGATTGTTATTATTGTTGTTATTATGTTATTTTTATTATATTATTGTTATTATTATTTGTTATTGTTATTATTTTATTTTTAGTAGTAGTATTTATTCTTTTAATTTATTATCATTATTATTGTTATTTTAATTATTGTTATTGTTATTACTCTTATTATTTTCATTGTTGTTTTGTTGCTGTTATCATCAGTATCATTATCGTTATTATTATTATTATTAGTAGTTAGTAGTGTAGTGGTGGTGGCAGTTACAGTAATGTTTTTTATTGTTATTATTATTATTATTATTGTTGTTGTTTTTATCTTGTTTTTTATTACCATTATTATGTTTTTGTTATAGTTCCTGTTTTTCCTTTCTTTCATTTGAAGTTAGAAGTTTATCTTTTTTATCATAAGATAGGGAGATATCGTTTGGGCAGAATGTAAGAACTGATATTTTTTTTTCTTTGAAGTTTATTGGAGAAAACAATCACTAACTAATAACAACGTTAACAATGGTACGAAATAACGATTACTGGTACATAGACTGTGGCATCTGCACAGGCACGTGCATTTCCATGACCACAGGCTCGGGTTCGTGCACAGGCTGAGGCTGGTATGAAGGCTGTGGTGGTTCTACAGGTTCTGGCATAGGCTGAGGATTGTAAGAAGGCTGGGGCTTGAAGGTGACGGCAGGCCCATACACGTGAGGATACTGAGCCTCGCCGAGGTAGTTAACCTCAGCCAGGTAGCCCTTGGAATGGTCGGCCATGTAATTCACCTGCACGAAATGGGTGAAAAGGGTTTTGGTGAAAATATCTGTTGCTTGCTTGTGGCACGTATTTACGATAATGATAATACAGGTTCTTAAACAAATGAAATGGGTGATTTGGTGAAAATGACGTTTGTTTGAGTGCAGTATTTAAGAAAATAAGAATCAGAGTCAAAGTTTTCGGCGACATATCTGTTAGTTGTGTGTGGCCTGTACTGAAGGCAAATTCATAGCTTTCGAAATGTGTGCAATAACGAAAATGCCTATTAATTGCACAGAAAACGCACTCAAATAGAAAAAAATATCAAAATCAAGAATAAGGTTAGAATAGGTCTGGTATGGTGTGCTTACCGTTTGCTTGCGGCCGTCGGGGAGCTGAACAGAGTAGGTTCCCATAACGTTCTTGCCGTCGGAGTCTTCGCTATGGCTGAAGTCATTGCCGTTGTATTGGTCCTTTACAGCGTATGCGAAGTTATATGGCATTCCGTCCTATAGAAGGAGATGGAGGTTTATAATGATGTTGCTTTTAATGAATTACCTGTGATTGATATGTTTATGGCATTCCGTCCTATAAAAAGTGGTGGAGATTTATAATGATGTTGATTTTAATTAATTACCACAGATTGATGTGTTTTGTGGTATTACATTCTGCAGAAAGAGATGGAGGTTCGTA